TATATATATATATTCCCGTATTCAGTAGCAGTTGGAAAGTGCATGTACAAAATAATTCATGGCTTTTCTACGTAATATGAAGCTCACACTGCACACATGAATCTAAGATGACTTTCATTGTGCAGTGTCTGTCTCCAGTAATCCTCCATTTTTTTTTTTACTGCTTTTTTTTTTATCATAATACAAACCCATTCGAGCCCCTCCACATTATTCAAATTGAATTCATGCATTAACATACAAATTAAATAATGTTTTTTTTTTATTTTTTTTTTTACAGTGACTTTGTCAAGAATCCTATTGAAGTTTCCTTTTGAAATACCTCGTCTGACACCCAAGATAATAATCTCAACGTCAGGTGGAAACTTCCCGCCACGCAACAGTGACTGTGAAATTAGACTCGCGGCAAATTAGGTAAACTGCATGAGGAGAATGGAGGATGGGTCTCTGCCTCTGAAAATGAAGATTCTGAGCTGAGATGCGACCTGGAAGTGTTTTTAGAAGATTCACCCAATGAGTAAAGGGTAGGTTTACTCTCTTCAAGGTTTTAATTGTTTTGGAAGGCAGTTAATCAGTAATACTGCAGTGAATGTAACAATAGTAATAGATTCACAGCGGTGGATTTTCACAGCTCACTTGTTCCACACCGAATTCCCTGCGAAAACATACTGATGTCAGAAGAGGCTCCACAGAGGAGAAAGGTTTGCCTGTATTGAATTGGGTCAGAATTTATATAGATTGGTACATAATACAGTTGGAGATTTGTCAAAAATATCCACACTATAACAAAAATTCACCATGAATGCATTAGTGCGACATTCATGGCCAACATGATGAATCCCATGAGTGTTTCATCACTAATCAGTTACTAGTCCCGCTGCAGTCATCGTGTTTGATCTGACGTGTTGCGTATTTGTAAGTCTTTGTTTTAGGAGTCATAAGGTTTAAAGTTCCTGCCTACAGACTGCGATGGTGCTGTGGGATCTCACTAATGTCAGGTGGGTAACCTCATCTCGATTGCTTTGCAGTTCCCATGGAAACAGGGCGCTTCATGGTTTTCGGAGATGCTATAAATTGAGCTTCCCTAAACATTCAGATCCTTTGGTGATGCCTGTAACAAAGACGTTTTCAGCCTTTCTTAAAAGGATAGTTCACCCAAAAATGAAAATTCTGTCATTAATTACTCACCTTCATGTCGTTCCAAACCTGTAAGATCTTTGTTCATCTTCGCAACACAAATTAAGATATTTTTGATGAATTCCAAGAGCTCTCTGACCCTCCCATAGGATCCTAACACGATCAAGGTCCAGAAACGTAGTAAGGACATCGTTAAAATAATCCATGTGACATCAGTGGTTCATCCATACTTTTACGAAGCTACGAGAATACTTTTTGTGCGCAAAGAAAAACAAAAATAATGACTTTATTCAACAATTTGTCTCCTCCGGGTCACCCTGGCGCCATTTTGGAGAGTATCACATAGGCAAACAATGTTTGCAACGTATGTACGTGGATACATTGTTTATGTTCAGATCCAAGCATAAACAACATATCTTGAATCTTGTTTTCCGTTTTTGTAATTATTTATTTTAGGGATGCAATATACCAATATAAAATGTTCTTCACACCAAGGAAAAAATGGTTTCTATTAATAGTTTGCGTTATTATTTTCTGTTTATCATTTTAATTTGTTTACTTTTTTAGTAATTTTGTTGTGTTTTTGTATTTTAAAAAATATGTCTAGTTTTTAAAAATAATTTTTAATTCCGTTTTAGTTTGAGTTATTTTAGTAAATAAAGTTAAACAAAATAAAAAGTGAGAAATGTTTCCTTGGCAATTAGCTGAAATAAAGTAAGTTTAAGTGTTAATATTTTATTGCAGTTACAGTTTATTTTATTTCAAGAAACAAAAAATGCTTTCAATAACACTTTACAATAAAGTCCCATTAGTTAACATTAATGCATTAAAGGGGTGGTTGACTGGGTTTTTTCTAGGCTTGATTGTGTTTATGGGGTGCAGTCTAACATGTGTTAATGCTTCGTTTGTTAAAAAACGCATTATTTTTCACATAATTTACCTTTATTCCACACCGCTTTGTCCATTCTCCTCTGAACGCGCTGATCATTTCCTGCTATTATGAAGCCCCTCCCTCAGAAATAGATGATGGGCTCTGATTGGTCAGCTGGCTCAGTGTGTTGTGATTGGCTAAACCGCCTCTAGCGTGCGCCTAAGCGTCCCGCCCCTCAACATAGCGGCATGTGCTCCTCTGTTAGCTTTTAATATACAGTTTTATTCTGATTAAAGCTTTAATACAGTTCGGCAACCGCACGCGCGTCCATGTTTAACGCTTCTCATAGCTATGTGAAAATAAGTGTATTCACTGAGCTGATGATCTGAAAGAGAGAGAGAGAGAGAGAGAGAGAGAGATGCAGAGCGAGGCCAGGAACAGGATGAGAACGCTGCTTTAGAACATTTTGAAACTTGTGAATCAATTAGAATCGTTAGAAGACAGAATTGCGATTCATATATGAATAGATTTTTATGTGCACCTCTAGTTTTCTCTTCCTCTTCTCTAAAGCGGCGCAGCATGGCCCCGCCCCCTTTGCTGCGTGTTCCCGGAGGTGGGGTTTATGTAAAATTCTGGGTTCTTGACGTAACGGACCCGGGAAGTAACTCGTTGTAGTCCCTTACCAGTCGTTTTTGTAGGCATTAAACTGCCAGAATTTTAAAAGACAATATCTCCGTTTGCATTGAACTTTCAGCTTCCTAAATTTGCAGATATTGTTTATGATCAAACAGCAACATTACACACTAACTAACGTTAAAAAAGTGAAATCGCAATCAACCACCCCTTTAACCACTGATCAATTCCGTTTCTACAGTATTTTTTTGTTGTTGCTAATATTAGTTCATAAATATACACTGTTGATTGATAGTTCGTGTTAGCTAAGGTCCATTAAATAATATTAACAGATATAACTTTTGATTTTAATAGTAAATATGTTATTTGAAATTTACATCAACTAATAAATGTTTCAGTGGAATTTTTCATTGTTAGTTCATGTTCATATCATGTAGTTAACTCATGTTAACAAATGGAACCTTACTGTGAAGTGTTACCATGTTTTTTTTTATGGTTTTAGGTAATAACCCTGAGCCCATCCAATGAAAGATGAGCTGAAATTACACACTTCACCTTTAAAGCAAACATTTCAGTGAATCTGTTAGAAACGCCGTCCATTTCCCCACAGACTAGAGACTCGGTCAGGTCACGTAACTGCTAGTTTTTCTGAGCAAAGCTCCACCAGGGCAAAAAATTGGGCCAGTGAGAGCCGAACGTGAAGCCGCAAATGGACAGTGAGTGTGAAGAAGCGGGAAGCCAGTGAAGTGCTTCGGCAGAAGCTGAAGTGGAACGGGACGTGTTGTGCTGCCTGTACAGATAAAACACACACAGCACACAAACCCCAATCACCGCTAATAGTCCCACTCTTCTGTTTGATAAGCGCTGAGGATTTGCATTAGGCTGAGAGTGCTGCGAAGCCTCTGTCTGTGTGTGCTGAGTGCCATATGGGCTTTCTAGCCTTTGGCCCGAGCGCTCTGTATGTTCTAGCAGCCAAAAGCTCCACATACTGTAGGCAACGACTGCATCCCTCAGTGGCAGAGACGAGCAAATCTCCCCAGTGTGTTTGGCCATGATATGAGCAGGACAGAGAAGCAGGGATGGGGAGATAAAACAGGAAGCTGACTACTAACCTAACTGCTTTTTCCAACAAAACTAGCACTATTGTTTTTTTTTGTTTGTTTTTTTTCACAACTAACAGTGGTGTAGGACTGTGTAGACTGTTGTTTTGTGCACACCGGTGAATCAATAATCACACACTAAATTGTCCTAATCATATGTAAGTTACATTCATTCTAGTGAATCATATTTGTATTTGGGTTTGAACATTTATATTAACATCTCAAAAATAAGTTTCAGTTAGATTTTTTTATGAAAAATACAATATAAATACATATTACAATATAATAATAATTATTATTACTGTTTAAGATATCTATTTTCTGTTGTAATATTTTAAAATTTATTTTCACCAATTCAAAAGAACAATATTTATTCGAAATGGAAATATTTTGTATCAATTTCTTTACTGTCACTATTGATCAAATTAATGCATCCTTCCTGAATAAGTGTTATTTATTAAAAATGTTATATCAGGGTTAGTATAGTTAACTAAAACGGAAACTATAAATTAAAACCATTGAAATGGTTACTTAAACATTAACTGGAATCAAATTTATTTCAGCTAAATTCAACATTTCTCATCAGATGTAAAATAACTAAAACTAAAAGTTAAATAAAATGATGTGTGTACCTGGTATTTATCACGTTATGGGGACCAAATGTCCCCACAAGGATAGTAATACTAGTAAATTTTGACCTTGTGGGGACATTTTTGAGGTCCCCATGAGGAAACAAGCTTATAAATCATACAGAATGAGTTTTTTTGAGAAAGTAAGAACGCACAAAGTTTCCTGTGAGGGGTAGGTTTAGGGGTAGGGTTGGTGTAGGGCAATAGCACATACAGTTTGTACAGTATAAAAACCATTACGCCTATGGAATGTCCCCATAAAACATGGAAACACAACATGTGTGTGTGTGTGTGTGTGTACAGGTGAAACCAAAATATTCAATCCCCTTAACCTGCAAGACATTTTGCTGCAGAGAACAAAATTTTATGTAAACAATTCAACAAAGGCATAGTACACTATTAGAGAAAGTTTATTAATACACATTTGAGTAATTCTAAGAATGTAAAGTTGATGAATAATGGAAAAAAAAAAAAAAAAATCACATTTGCTCTAAACATTCATGTTCAAAATTATTCAACTCCCAAAAGTCAAAATTGGTGCAGTCTTTTATTGTTTAAAATCACACAGAATCACTGCTTGAGGGTGCTTAGAAGCTTCTGTCACCTCTCTACTGCAATCTTGGCCCATTCCTCAACTGAAAAAGCGTTCAGATCACTGATAATCTTTGGCTTTCACATTGCCACTGCTTTCTTCAAAGTCAACAAAATATTTTCAATTTAAATTAAATTTGGAGACTTAACAGGCCACTCAAGAACATTCTACAACTGATCCCTGAAACAAGCATAAGCAGATTTGGATGTATACTTTGGGATGATTGTCCTGCCGGAAAGTCCATTGATCATCATCTTCAGTCTTTGCACCAAAGGCATCACGATTCTTGCCAAAATGGCCTGATACTTCAAAGAATCCATGATGTCCTTCATACAGTCATGATTTCCACTTCCTGCAGCAGTAAAACACCCCATAACAAGACTAGGTCTCCTCCATGTTTGACCATGGAGATGGTGTTCTTCTGCTCATTAGCTTTGCCTTTTTTGGACCAGACATACCGCTGATTCATTGGTCCAAAAAGTTCTAGTTGGGTCACATCACTTCATAAAACATTCTTCCAGAACACCACAGGTGTATCCAAATTAATTTTAGCATGTTTAAG